TAATACTCCATAATAATAATAACACTAGTAATAGTAATAATAATAATAATAGTAATAGCCACACAATAATAATGATAATAATAATATAAGAATAATAATATTGATAATAATTATACTTCAATAATAATAATAATAATAATGGAAAAAAGGAAAATTCCTCCAAAGCAAGTTTTTAGATATTTCAGGGTATATTTTTAAAAAAGATGGAACCTACGAATTCTTATCACAAAACGAAAGGTAGGGAGAGTAATTTTCTGATATTGTGACCAGTGGCGGATCCAGAAATCCAAACCACTGGGGGCAGATTTGAAGAAAAAATCTTTCTCTTTTTTTTCCACAAAACATTTCTTGTTTTAAAAAATGAACTTTAAAAATGTTTAATTTTAATATTATTTTCTAATTTTTATCCAAAACATCATATCCTTTTTTTTGAACAAATATGCAATTGTATTATCCCCACAAAAGCCAAATACATAAACTTACCGTCTCAAAATCAACATTTATCTACTCCCTCATACTCTATACATATCCTACCATATTATAAAATTACAGTAGATCGAACTAGAAAATAATACATTTTTTAAAGTGTATCTTTTTTCAGATAGAAATTTTTTTGTGAGATGAAAGAAGTATTGAATTTCTTGGTGTAGATAGAAATTGATAATCAAGAAAAATATGTGGTGTACATAGGGTACAATTTGGTGTACCAATAAATAGAACAAGATTTTTTTGAGAAATAAAGCAAACTAATATATTACACAGTAATATAATAGCAATGTAACGTATGAAATAATAATTCAATTTTTTTTTGTTTTTTGAAAAGGTTTTTTTTTTTTGCTTTTACGGAAGTGGCCAAGAAGAGATTGGGGGCAACCAATTTTTTTTATGGGGGCATCACTTTTATTTCATTAAAAGAATAAAAATACTCAATATACTAATAAATTTTTTTCTTAAACTCACTGGGGGCAAGTGCCCCCATTCCTTTAAACATAGATCCGCCCCTGATTGTGACGTTCATCATGAAATGAGATTATTAGATGAGCATCTTGCAACGATTGCTGATGAACAAACTAATACGGAGTGTTTAGTATGGAAAAGTTAGAAAATCGGTGACAGTGCGTAAAGCAGCCGTTCTAGCTCAGTTGGTAGAGCGCATGGCTTTTAACCATGTGGTCGTGGGTTCGAGTCCCATGGATGGCGATTCTTGGTTTTCTCTTCTCAATGCTTATCCCTTCCCTCCTTAGTGAATTTTTAATCTCCTCGATTCTCTTTCTTTCTTATGTAAATTTTTGATGGACTTACATATAGATATTTACTTTTTTTAAATTTTAAAAAAGTTCACTTCTTTTATACTACAAATGCATTAAGATCCATATAATTAACATGGACTTAAGGTCCATGAAAGAATTTGTCATTTAAAATTAGGAAGATTACCCTATCTAACACTATAATGTAGGTAAAAATACCTATCTAGTACACTATAATGTCACACTCTCTTCCCATGCTGCTACCACTACCTCTCTTCGCCGCCACACTACCACCACAACCACCACTACACTGGTACCCTTTGCCGCCGCATTGCACAATTGGGTGAAATTTGCCATTGGTTCTTTCACTTTGTGACTTGTGCACGATTGATCCTTCAAGTTTCAAAAGTTTATAAATATTCCTTTAAGTATTCAACAATTTCCAAATCTAGTTATTCAAGTTTCAAAAGTCCATAAGTAGTCTTTGAAATATTCGTCAACCCTCCAAATGCAGTCTTTTTTTACGGTACAAATTAAAAGCTAAACGGAGTCTCCATATATATAACTTGCGACCGGCAATGGGTACCAGATGCAACTAGCTCCACATATATAACTTCCACTTCAGTGCCAGATGCAAGTGTCGACCAGCAATGAGCGTCGTGGCGCACGACGCTGGCCCCGTCCTGCGAGCATCGCAGCGCAGTGAGTCTTTCCGCAGTGGGTCTTTCCCTCCCATTGTAAATGTTGGAAATCCCGAAATGAGAAAAGTTTTTGAGACGGTTGAAAAAAGAAAGGATAAAGGTTTTATGGGACGGGTGGAGTATATGGAAATAGTAATCCGTTTATGTTTTAACGTGTACCATAGAAGGACTGCATTTTGAGGGTCAATGAATAACTGAAGGACTACGTATGAACTTTTGAAACTTGAAAGACTGCACTCAGAGGGTTATGAATACCTGAAAGACTATTTATGAACTTTTAAAGCCTGAAGGACCAATCATGCACAACTCATAAAGTTGAAGGACCAATCATATATTTTAACCTAAATATAATAAAAATTGATGAAAATTACATTGCGTATAAATATAATAAACTTACATTGCATTTAAAATACATATAGACACGCACCATTTTTGTTTGCATGAAAATCGATGAAAATGTTTGCATGGGTTGGCCTCATCCCATGCATATAATGAGGCAATCAATCCAACCACAAGCCATTGTTTAGTTTTCAAGGCATCTTATAGTTGTGGTTTGGACTATCACGCGGTCAAGCTAGTAGTTGTTTGAAGTTTGGGTTTGCACTCCATGTACTCTTCATTAATATATATATATATATATATATATATATATATATATATATATATATATATATATATATATGTATATATATATCACTCTCTGTCCTCCTCGACCCGTGGAGGGGAGACATGTGCAATCATTCTCTTTGAATTAATTCAATATGTGGTCATCGTGGTGATTTTTTTTTGAAAAGGGATTAAAATTGTGATACAAATTTTTCCTACTAGAATGTGTAAATTTTGAAGCAAGATAAATGAAGTTACTCATTCTAGTTATCATTCAATTATACAAGAAATTGATGCCTGATTATACACACATGTTATACTTACCTCAAGTCAATGCATGTATTTCTTTAATAATTTTTATGATATTTTAATTTCATAAAGTTTTATTAATTAAGATGTTAATTATATTATATACTCCGTATTTGTTGAATAGTTGATAATGAAAACTTTTTCTTTTATAATTTTTTTAATATTAGAGTAATAAAGTCCAAGTGTTTATAAATTGTACCGGGCCTTCAAGATGGACGAATATTTTTTAGATGTGATAATAATTCAAGATGAATATATATTGGCACGTTCAACGCTCATTATAATATGAGAGTATTAGAGAACTTAGGGAGCATTCAACTAAATATAGCTAACTAATGAACTGACGCTTAATGCGACCTTGCAGCAATTACAACTTATTGGTAAATACTAAGTTTATGACGTTGAAGACAAGGTTGCCGTTCTAGCTCAGTTGGTAGAGCGCATGGCTTTTAACCATGTGGTCGTGGGTTCGAGTCCCACGGATGGCGGAATTTTCTTACTTTTTCTTTCTCCTTGATTTTCCTTCACTCTCCCAAACTCAATACATTCCTCAACTCATTATTTTCTTTCCTCTTTTATTTTACCTCTCCTAAATAAGGGGTTAATTACTTGAAATAAATTTTATATTAAAAGACATGAACATTTTCATTTAATTGAGGTTTAAAGTTTATCTAGTTTGACGAATACACTGAGAGAGAGGGAATATATTGGTTTGATATATAGGAGAGAGAACATATTTTCAAAGAACATTAGTAGTAGTTGGCAGAGTCAAATAGCACATTCAAATTTTCACATCAAAGCTAGCTAGGGTTGCTCTTAACAAAAAGGAAAAATTACCCAAAATAATCCCAACTTTATCCAGTCTTTCAAAAATAATCACACCTTTCACTGTGATGCATAATAATCCCAACTTTATTGAAATTTGCCAATTTTGGGTCGCCGTTAAGTTTCTAACGGAGGGTTAACGGAAATGCCCGTTTTAGGCAACAAAATGAAAGTTGGGATTATTTTTGATGAATTTTTGTTTTTTAATTTTTTTTGAAATTTTTATTTAAATTTTTTGAATTACTTTCAACCTCCATTTCTTTTTCTTTTTTAAAGATTATTTTTACCTTAGAAAAAAAAAGTTATAAAAAATAATGAAAATGAGAAAAATAACTAAAACCATACAAAATTAATCAAATAAATAATGTAATCAATAGAAATTAAAAAAAACTGGTAAGAAATAAAATAAATATATACAGAGTGGTGGGTTTTAACATTTTACACATTATATGGAGTCTTAATGTACTACTTATTTTTTAAAAGAAAAAGCCGTCATGTAAAGTTGGAATTATTGTAGATAATTTTTTATAAAAAATAAGAATTGATATGTTAATACTTTGTATAGTGCGTAAAATATTAAAACCCACCCGTATATTTTTATTTTACTTTTACCAATTTCAAGTTAGTTTCCATTGATTACCTTATTTATTTTATTATTTTTGTATCATTTTAGTTACATTTCTCATTTTTTTCATTTTTTTATATCTATTATTTTATTTTTTTAAACTAAGACTAATCTTTAAAAAAGGAAAAAGAAATGATGATGGAGGTAGAAAGTAATTTTAAAAATTTAAATGAAAAATTTTAAAAAAAATAAAAAAAAAATGAAAATTCATCAAAAATAATTCCTACTTTCATTTTGTTGCTTAAAACGGGCATTTCCGTTAACCCTCCGTTAGAAATTTAACGGCGACCCAAAACTGGCAAATTTCAGTAAAGTTGTGATTATTATGCATTACAGTGAAAGGTGAGATTATTTTTGAAAGACCGGGTAAAGTTGGGATTATTTTGGGTAATTTTTCCTAACAAAAAAGGCAAATCTGACAACAATCTCCCTATCTTTCTCTTACCTTTATCTCTCTCTCTCAGCTTCATTAAGGCCATAGGACATATATTTGATTATTTGTGCATTGGACCATGCTACACTTACACCAAAAAATGTACCCCATTTGTACACCACAGTTATGCACAAACATTTTGATGGTTTACACGGACATAAGTGTTGGTGAGTTAACAAAAATTTACACGGACACAAAGTGTTGGTGTGTTAACAAAAATTAGTTTTACACCAACATATAATGTTGGTGCAAACCTGCGGGGTACAAATTGAGGTATAAATATTGGGGCACATATAGCTCAATCCTTGTGCATTTGAACGAAAGAAAAATATAAGGCCTACATTATTAACTGCATGGTATTAGCACAATATATCTTCTATCACATGAGTTCCTTAGCTTCCTGGCCTGCATACATTTATTATAAGCATGCTCAATACTCTGGCATATATGCAATCAAGTGGAGTTTATTGCACCAATTACGGCTCATCATTTCAAAACTTACGTAATATTCCTATGTCAATACTCCTCTAGACTAAAATACCCTTCAAATATTAAATTAATTGTTCTGTTGCCTCCTTGTGGTTTTGGAAATGGTTTCCAACGCCCCTCTCTTTTTTTTCTTTCTGATTTTTCATTTTTCTTTTCCTTTTTCGTAAAGAGAAGAAAAACATTTGTGTTTGAAATAATGTAACTATGAAAGTATGATTTTCAAAACTATTATTTTAAAAGTGTTTTGAAAAATGAGAAAATGTTTCATTAATTTTTGTATAATGAAAATGAATCAATAAAGACCCAATAACATGAAAACATTATGGAGTATAAAAATAGTGTTAGAAAAGGACTTTAATATATATATATATATATACTAGCATTCTTATGCGCGTTGCGCATATATGGGTGCCCGATCATGATTTTTTGCAAGTTCGTTTATGGTTTTTCTATATTAGTCAACGAGACGGTTCCCATAACATAGCCCGACAATGTCAAAGGATGACCCGGGAGCATTCCGGTGCCACGTTCGTAAAATTGATGGTTTCTACCCCCAGGTAAACCGCCCTACCCTGTCCCGAACCGAACACACCCCCCACCCCCTTCAATTGTACCGCACAAGTTAATTTTGATTTTGGAGTCAAAACTTACTCTAAAGTCAAAATTAAGTTGTGATGTGCAATTGAAGGGGGTGAGGGTGTTTACCGGGGGGTTAGGAGGTAGGAACCGTCATATTTACGAATGTAGCATCGGAGCGCCCTTGGGTCATCTCAGGACATAGGGTTCCAATGTCATGGGAACCCCACCGATTAGTCAATGTGGTTTATTTGGTTTAACTGCTTCTTGTTGAACAAGTAATGAAGAAATGAAATTGACAATAATGATGAGATTAAAGTTCTAATGGTTTGCATCCAAAGTTCCTCTTCTCTATTTAAGGGCAAAAGTGAGACTAAATATAGAAATACGCTTCATACAAGATGTGTATGATAGAATTGTAAGTGGACTAAAATAGTTAGATATATCATCAAATATGTTACTTTGTAATCAATGAATTTACATATTATGTGATAATCTTTAAAGGCATCTAAATATTGATCCTGATTTTAATAGATCTTGGTCAGTTTTTTAAAGAGACATCTGCATCCACTTTCTTTGCACATAGGAGTATATTTAGTATACTATCTGCTCCTAGTTTCTATCTCGGGCTTCACACAGAGTGACACTCTTATGTAAAATATACATATAGATATGAATAGTGTCATTGAAAATGAATAGTATGACAAAGGTGAAATTAAAAATGAATAAATACGTAATAAAAGTGTCATCCTATACCACAGAAAGATTTTTGTTCATTAAAGAAGGATCTTTTAATAACTTGAAAAAATGAGAAATTTGAAATTTAGATTTAACATTTGAAAATAAAAAGGAGTAGTGGTTTAAAAACTTTTTTAAGTAGTGTAGTAAGGTATTGTTTCCTTTAATAATAAAAATCTTATACATTATGAAATGCAAAACACAAAACTATATGTATGAAAATAGTAAAAAAGAGAACCAAAACTCCAAAAAAATAATTGCATTCTTCCTCTGTCATTGAGTTTATCTACCTCTTTTCTATAAACTCTCCTCTTTTTTACAGTAAAAATGTGCATCTCCCTGGCAATTTATTAACACTCCTTCGTCATCACTGTAAGCATCGATCCATTAGGAGTTATGGATTCAAAAAGGCTGCATAAAATCATCCACAATAATAATTCTTCTCTATAAACATTCCAATAGTTGTCATAAAGAACAAATTCTCTTGGGTGGGTAGTAAGTAAAGATACGTACTACAACCAGTATCCCATTTCAAATACTTCCAAATGAAACTTGTAGTTTGTAGCGACCAAAGTTAGAATAGATCTATTTTCAAGTGGTGATAAAATAATTAAAAGAAAGCAGTTGAAACCTCAATGGAGTGTGGCTTCTTAAATTAGCTAAAGCAAATGTTGATTTTGAAGAGGGATTTAAGGGATGTGTATTTTGGTATTGAATTTTCAAAAATGTCATTTGATGTGATGAATAAAAGTATGATTTGATGGGTAGATTATTAGTAAAAAGGTATGATGTGATAGGTAGGATATGAAAAAGTAAGGATAAAAGTAACTTTTTAATAGAAATGAGAAGTATTTTTTGGAACGGATGAAAAAAGAAAAGAGAAAAGTTTTTTGGGACGGAGGGAGTAAAACATATGGGGTAAGAATAGTTCAAGGAATGATAAACTTAGTGGTGCCAAATGGTTGAGATGTAATCAATCAGAATGCATAATACTTCCACCATTTACAATGAATTATGCGCAAAAAATAGATATAACTTACAATCTAAAAAGAATTTGAGTGTAACCCAAAATAAGTTTTGTAAAGTTAGGTTAAATCATACTCTGTACCTCTTTTAGGTTGCAAGAGCCATTAAAGTGGGGACAAACTCACAAAGTCCAGGAAAGGTGTATAATTCTCTTACAATGAAGCCACGATTTCTAAAAACCACTCTAAGCGAGGACTATGATCCTGCAAATGAGTATCAGATCACACAATCTTTAGTCAAAATGGATAAAAACAAAGGATATCCCTCATTTTACTGTGAAAAAAAGAAAACAACTTCCTCCTAAGTATTGAAGAGGCTTTTGATCATGTTTGCTAAATTGTTTTTTTGTTAAATGCAACTCATTTTGAAGCATTTTCATCTGGTTAAATGCAAATAATTTTGAAGCATTTTCATCTATCATTTGGCAAAAAGCTCCCAAAATTAATGAATTGAATGAAAATCACCTCAAGAATATGATGCTCGGATTGATTCATAATTACCACAAGAATGAAATCACAAAGAAATTGATAGGGAAACACTTGACATACCAGAAAACAAAGCTGCAGACAGTGTCTCATCCTAGCTTCCAACACCAATTATAAATAGCTAGACTATTAAAATATTTAAAATTGAAAATACAACATCGAATCTATTACAAATTGCGGGTTACGAAGTAAAATTTCCTACTTTTTAAAATCATTTTATTTATAAATTGGTATATCAATAAGATATAAAAATTACATATTAAAAAACTACGTCAAAAGTTCTACAAAACAAGAGGTGACAAGAATATTTTATTTTATCAAATACTTAATAAAATCGCGTAAACAAACAAAAGTTATCAAGAGAAGAGAGAAAAAAAATTGTAATCCATTCAGGGACGGAGGGAGTAAATAATTAGGATTAAAGAAGGATTTTCTAGCTTCAATCTTGAAACGAAAGATAGGTAATCAATACCATGCTGCCAACATACCAAAAATTAGGCAAATCTGAAATAATTAGCATAGCGTGTTTGGGATCTCTCGACTTCGCAAAGAAATTTGAGATGGTGAGCTTCTCGATCGGCCTTGCGATGAAATCTGTGAAGAAATAATTTTATGAGGATGAATTTTATTTATTACACTCCATATCATTTATTAGGTATGAATTACTCCATAAAAACCAGTGCTTGTGAAACGACTGTGTGAATTACTCCTTCGCATATTTGCTTGTGAAACGACTGTTTGTGAATTATTCTTTTGGCATATTTAAAGTCACAATTTTGCTTCAAAAAAAAAAAAAAAATTCAACAAAAAAATTTGTTCGCTTCGTATACTTACCATTGACTTAACGGCGTAGGGGTATTTTAGGAGTTAAAAAGTAACGTACAAGTCCAAAAGCCAATTGTGCTACTAATTTGGACGGAAAATGGACATAATATTAGAGGGTACCAAACCCTATTTACCATTTATATAAGAAGAAAGATATATATGTTTTGGTGAGAATGCAATCTTATGAAAGAAATAAGAATGAATCTGGTGCTTTAGATTTTGAGATCTAAGGGTCAGGATTGCATCAAAATTAGGTGCACCAAAATGGTTTGAAAATGCGTCATGTCAAAATGCACAAAAATCCTTTGAAAATGTACTATCTCAAAATCTGAGTGCAAGATGCTGGATGCAATCTGAGCCGCACGATGCATCAGATCCAAAGGCTAGATTTTATTCTTATTTCTTTCACGAAGGTGCATTCTGGCCTGAACCGGCCCATATATATATATATATATAGACACACACACACACACCCCCAAATTGAAGTTTACAAATGGCTGGGCTTCAAGGAGTTCAAGATGGAAAATGGTTGAAAAATATAGGGCCTGTTTGGGAATCGCGTTAGAGATTAGCGTTAGCGTTTTGGATAAAATTTTAACGGTGCAGATTTGTTACGGGACTATTATTATTATTATTACTATTATTATTATTATTATTATTATGGTAATGAATTATTTATAGTTAGTTAACTATTATTAGGAAATATTATATTTGTTAGATGATTAATTAGTTTCCTAATTTAGTTAGTTACCTTTTATAATTAGGATTATTAATTATTTAGTTACCATTTATTATTGAGATTCTCTAGAATTGGACCCTATAAATGTATCCATCACCATAGTTTTATCAATGAATGAATAAAGAAAAATACTTTCTCCTAAACCTTAATCTCTCTCTTTCTCGCCTCTTTTGTTCTTGGAGCTCGAATGTGCTCGAAATCCTTCACTATTCCGATACGATACCGTATCAATTGGTGCTTTCATTGATGAACTCGCCCAAAAGATACAAAAAAAAATCCACGGCACACGCAATGGATTCTCTGTTGGACAAAGTTCTTGGTTTACTCGAGAAAGTTCTACAGGGGCAAATTGAATTTTATGAAGGCGTGGGTGCAGTTGAAGATTCCGTGGATGAAATTATAAAGAAACTCCAGGCATTTCGTCCAATTGAAGGTCAACCAAAATTTGATTCCGAGGTATATACGTTTTCCGTAGAGGCCTTTTGCTCAATACAAGATTTAGTTCGTGGTCTCCCAATTATGCCAAGCCTGATTTCTATAGAGTTATACATTTTCAAAACAAACATGATGCGCTCTATTAAGAAACTGATCGGCACTCCACGAGATTCGGCCCTTCCTGTACCTTTGCAAAACACAACTTTGCAGGACTAGGAATTTAAAAAGGAAATTTTTATTGATCCTGTTGGTGTTCCTGATGATGATCTTATGATAGATCCCATAGATGGTGTTCCTCTTGCCGTTGTTGATATTGTTGTTGATGTTTCTGGTGACGATCAACGAGACCACACTATCCAAGCAAAATATTCAAGCGATGGTATCATTTTTTATGGATGCACGGAAATATTTGGGATGTCAGAAAATGACGTTGTTGTCCTTTATGATTCTAGGAATGTCACGCGTGTTGGCAAGATTTTCTTCTCATTGGTTCTCTGGAGTTGTTTGCTAGGACTTGTGAATGCTTTGAGCTTGGCTAAATCTTTTGATGCTCCATTGATAAAGGTCTTTGACCCCGGAGGATGTCCGTTCACAACACATGATTCCTCGTTTTTTCTAGATTTCCAACTTGAGGACAAGTTGGTTTTCGAGACGGGGAGAGTGTTACGGGACTATTATTATTATTATTATTATTATTATTATTATTATGGTAATGAATTATTTATAGTTAGTTAACTATTATTAGGAAATATTATATTTGTTAGGTGATTAATTAGTTTCCTAGTTTAGTTACTTACTTTTATAATTAGGATTATTAATTATTTAGTTACCATTTATTATTGAGATTCTCTAGAATTGGAGCCTATAAATGTATCCATCACCATAGTTTTATCAATGAATGAATAAAGAAAATACTTTCTCCTAAACCTTAATCTCTCTCTTTCTCGCCTCTTTTGTTCTTGGAGCTCGAATGTGCTCGAAATCTTTCACTATCCCGATACGATACCGTATCAAGATTAATTTGAAAACGCTAACGCTAAACGCTGCATGTAGATAGCCTTTTGAAAACGCTAACGCTAATCTCTAACACTATTCCCAAACAGGCCCATAATGTACATGTATGGTTGGAAGAAATATACTTAATTGAAAAGTAAGAGAGGGTAAACTTTATTTGGAAAGTTTTTCTTTTTTAAATGGTAAAGCCATTTCAATTTTGGAAGTGAGGAAGCTAACTACCTTAGTATACACACGTACGAAATAGAAATTGATGTAAGCAGTACAAAGTTAGATGAGATAGTCTTATTGTCATTCAATTCAGTTGTTGTTCAAAACGCATGCCCCATGACACAACTCAACATTGAGTCTTTCTTTTCTTTTTTTTTTTTGGAAAATGCTAGGGTGCCACCACATGGGTGCTACCATGGGTGCATCCATGCTTCGCATAGACAAACACAGATGATAATAGACAATTATCGTCTGTGTTTATCTTTGCGAAGCATGGGTGCACCCATGGTAGCACCCATGTGGTGGCACCCTAGCATGGTCCTTTTTTTTCCATGCATAAGGGATGTGTTTTTTTTGTGTTGATGCTTATTGACTTATTATTGATAAGTAATTTCTAACTTATAAGCTGCTTATAAATTAAATCTTCGTTTGTGGAAGTAAAATGACTTAAATAATAGATAAATCATTTGGAAGTATTCAAAAATGGCGAGCAATAGTTTTGTAAACAATCTTGTTAAAATGAAATTTTGAAAAAAATTAATTTAAAAATAATCAATTTTTAACATAAGTAGTTTTTTTGTGTTGATGCTTATTGACTTATTATTGATAAGTAATTTTTAACTTATACGCTGCTTATAAATTAAATCTTCGTTTGTGGAAGTAAAATGACTTAAATAATAGATAAATCATTTGGAAATATTCAAAAATGGCGAGGAATAGTTTTGTAAAAATTCTTGTTAAAATGAAATTTTGCAAAAATTAATTTAAAAATAAGCTAATAAGATCCACTAATTTTTTCAGGCTTATAAACAACTTATAAGTAACTTATAAGCATAAATAAACATGTCATCACCTGACTTATAAGTTAAAAATAACTTATAAGTAATTTTGAACAGTTTATAAGCGCATAGAAACACCACTAAGGTCTTGTTCTCTTCAATTTATTCGTATTACTTATCATTTTTTAAGAATCAAACCAGATCAAATCAGATCAGAAATATTTTTAAATATATTTACATTCAGATCAGATTAGATTAAATCAGAATTTATTCCAATTAGATTTTAATCATTGAGGTCAGGTGAAGAGAATATGACCTAAGTTACCTAATTCTTTAGCCTAGTCCAAAGACCTAAAGAATCCCAAGAGCCTAAATAAGGTAAATATGAAACTCTTTTGTAACTCAGTTTCTGACTTAGTTTGTGTGTTACTATGTGTAAAATGTTATCTCATGCATTTTAATGATAATTATATATGTTGGCCAACTTCTTTGTACTGGAAAACATAAAACATAAACTAGTTTTGTCAAACAAAATTATTCATCACTTATGTTTCCATATCTCACCACAGTACGTATCATTTACTTGTGAATAAAAAATGTAGCCTTTCCAAGTCTGCACACATCCATTAGTACACCCTATCAACATACAATCACTAAACCATTTTTTATCAAGATCGAACCGAGTCCTTAAAAAATCTCTGAAATGTGAAACGATTGTAATTCGCCGTATAAATGAGTAACACTAATCCGTATGGATCACCATCTTGAGCAGGGACCGCAGCAGAATTTGACGCTTTCTAAGTTCTTGATTATGCCAAGTCACAAATCACACATTTTCGCGCCAATTTTCTCAGAAACCGCAGTAAAGCCTCGTGCTTCATTTCCAGCTGAGCTTACTTCGTTCCCCCATTGGAGGAAGGACCTTGCGCTTCGAGGTGAACCGAAAAAGTGTGGAGGTTTTGATATAGCATCATCTTCATTTCCATTTGGGCTTTACTTTTTCTGTGTTTTCTCACATATACAGCCAGGGAGAGGATTGGCATAAAAACTTTCTTCCAACTTTGGGAACTCGCCGGGTTCCCTCATGTAAGGAGCCCCGATCCGATTCTCATGGAGTTTCTTGACTCTGGAACTGAACACTTCCCATGAGATCTTCCCTTCATCCAGTTCATCAACTAGCTTCACAAAATTCATCCTGCATTTTCAATATCACACATCACATTTATAGTTCACACGTCCTCCCCAGATCCCACTGTTGTGGGATTTTACTGGGTTTCTTGTAATGAGTCACTAGTTTTTTGTTGTTTGAAAAGAAAGTCAAAGCTCAAGCTCAACTACATACTCGTTTAAAAAATGAGTTGATCTGTGTTTGATTCAAAAACTCGACTACGAGTCGTAACTAGGGGGTATAATTGTCATTTTACTCCAATTTATAGAATGATAATAAATATGGCTTCTTGGATGAAGCTGCATTTGGAAATTACCTGTCTGGATTGACGGTTTTCTTGAAATCCTCGAAGCGCCTGTGACCCTGCACAGCCTTTGCCATGTTGCCATCATAAGTATAAAGAAAAACATCACTGAGGAGTGCAACAACATAGTCCAGACCAGCCAACATGTTTTGGTGATTCTTGAGAGGACTCAGTTCTTCTTCTGACGAAAGAGTTGAGTGGGAATAGATATTCGGGTAGTTGTCCCAAAGATATCGCATGCTATCTTTGCCGAACGCTTTACCAGCAACCAAGTAAATCGTAGTGGTGGAAGGGAAGCCCAGACCCTTCAGCAGAAGGGCAGTCTCCCTTGGTGTCAAGGGACAGCCACCAAGCTGCCTTCTCTCTGCCCCATCGATCTCCTTTTCCTTCCAATGGCTCACTTCATACCTCATCCTGCGAAGTTCTTCATCCTCTTCCGCTGTCAAATTATAGCTACAGCCTGTGAAAGCAAGCATATCCTTCTCATACCTGCAAGAAGAAAAGACAAATAAGGCCTTGTTTGGGAACAACATTTTCAATTAGCGTTGGCATTTTAGATAAATTTATAAAGGTGCAGATTAACTTTGAAAATGTTAAAACTAAACACTACAATTAAATAGCTTTTTCAAACATTAAAGCTAAACGCAGAAGTTGTAGCCGAAAGGGCACAAAATAGGAAGGACCCAAAATCTGCAATTATGTGCCTAATCAAGTAACACATATTTATGAGGAAAAATTACTACTACAAAATAGACCTTAGATGTAGAGCAAGATAAGGGTTCCCATTTTTCCGCAATCTTGAAGCAAAAGTTTTCCCAAGTTCTTCAATGGTGGAGGAATATTTTAATGCTTGGTAATTCACGCGACATCTCAACTTTTGTATGGAATTCGGAATCTCATTGTTGGCAAGCCTGGAATCCGTGTGCGTGAAGTATATCACCTTATTCTGCTTCAGTAGTGGAAGGACGTCATATTTGTAGTAACTAACCTGAAGAAAAGAAGCATAACAAAATTATTTAAAACGAGTAAAGCTGCTAGTGATTCTAATAGAAAATGTCTGAAGATGTCAGCAAGTACCGCTTCCGTTTCACAGTAAATAAGTCTCCCAATTTCAAAAAGAACTAAAATTGTTTTTGTTTTACTATAGAAAGTTTGTTTTCCCACTTTCTGGAAAAATGTCTCTCTCTGTATTTTATAGGGGTAAGGTTGTGTACATCCTAAGCCCCTAGACCCCAACAAAAGGATATTACTGGGTTTTTGTTAACACTTTTTTTCCATATAAAACTACTAAAAATGTTTTGTTTTAAGAGTACCTATTCCTTGCAATATACGGTAGCCATGATGTTTCCATTAAAGTCCAAGCAAAAAAAACTTATAAGAGTTTATGTTTGAAAAACTTTACCTTTGACCAAGATATTGGTGTTTTGTTAAAAGGTTCAACACCGGCAAATTCAGGCGGCAATTCCTCAACTATGTGAACATCATCCTTCAATGTCTCAATGAAGTGTCGCCAGTCGAACAAATCTTTGAAACCACTACATAACAAGAAAAGATCAAGGAGATAAACACATTATGATCATACAAAAGGATGTGAATCATTAGTTATTGGCTTATTGCAGTAAGTATACACCAAATGCCAATAGCCCCATTTGGTATACACCACTCCCTATGTCCCAAAAAAAGAGTCTTATCTAAAAACTTTTTTTATCCAAAAAATAAGTACTATTTGAACAAAAGAATCTAATTTTTATCGTATATTTTGAAAAAAGAAGTGTCCCAAACAAGTTGAGTGTATTAAATTAAATTGAACGAACAAATAAAGTCAATATATTGGCTATAGAGGATGCTTTTCAATAGCCGTACCTAAGTAAATTTAAAAGTTCTTCCTTTGTGAAACATGACTCTTTTTATGGCGGAGGGAGCACTTCTTTACATTATAGTTGTTACAAAGTTAGGGTAGAATTCTGCTTTTCCCATTGCGATTTGTGAGTTTTGGCAACAGGGATTGATCTTATTTATCTAAAATGACACACCTTTCATCAGCCCAGTAGGAAGTGTGATCAAGAGATGGAAGTACAAGGGTCGCCTTCATGATTTTAGCCACAGCAACCATATCACAAATCTGCATTCTAGAAGTATTTGTTTATAAGATCAAACCAGATAGTGTACTCGTACTGTTTAGAAAAATCACATACAAGATACATCACTGTAAAAAAATAACAACCAGACCCCAAATCTCATCTGGTTTAATCCACCATTGGCATTTATGAGAAAATAGCCGTTTGTCTTTCTATCTAGCTCTGCCAAGAAATGATGAAAGTAATGATATAAAAATATTAAATAATATAAAAACATGTACGGATCCTTTAAGCAGATCAAGAACGAGTTATAGGAGCTTACGTTTGTGACTCTTTGGCCGATCAATGCACTTGGTGAAATTGACACTCTCAGGTTTGGTCCATATCATTAAATGCTGAAATAAAAAAAATAACTTTACAGCAAAACAAACAAAAATATTTCAAATACTGGTTCCTTTTACGTTCTTTATAAGTGAATGCATTTGGGAATAGATCTAAGACCTACATCTTCCATGTTGGGAGTACCAACCGCTCCTGAAGATACCATCCTTAAGGCCTCCACCTCATTTCCTCCACCTTTATCTTCATGATGTCTGTCCGTATACACGTAGTCATATTCATGAGAGCCTTGATGCGTCATAGTTTGGTGAGTGACCAGAGAATCTGAGAAATCCTAGATAGCAATGAACAACAATCAAGCCAAACTGCTTTAGCTTCAGATGCAAGATTGCATACAAAGTCCCATTCCTAGAAATATCAAATATTTATATGTTTTGTAAGGGAAGCTATTACTTTCCTAAGTGTTATTAAATAGCAGGCGTGGGCGCGTGGCAGATGGTGGTGGTGGAAAACTGGAAATAGTACATAAGTAGTATGCTCTAGAAAAATAAGCTAACTTATAGCATATGCTTCAAATCACATAGGCTATAATTTTTAAATTCGTCTTAAAAAGTCATTATTGACAATATTTTCGCTTCGGATAAACAATACACAAAATCAAAATGGCACATTGAGCTTCTGTTGCTTCTTACTTTCTATGAAGTTTTGGATAGTAAATGAAATATGCATCAAGTGTCAAACAGAAACATCTACTTCGCTTTTTACATGGGTTAGCTTGCATAAATCTTGATCCCTAGACACCCACAGAGTTGAGATTATACTCGTTTTTCGTGGTGTTGTTGGTGTATGCAGCAATCACTATAAAATACGTAACTTCCATAGCAACCTTGGAATCTTGTGTTTGAGAAAACAAAAAAAAAGTGCAAATACCTGTGAAGCTCTATCGAATCTTTGTCTAGGGAACTAGAATGTTACTCACTGCCTATGTTTTTTTCTGGATTAAGGCAGTATAATTCCACTTAGATCCCTTCTAAGCCCAACTAATCCTGCATCTTTTTACAATAACACAGAAAGGTCCCACAAGTGTGGTTGGGGAAGGTGGGCGTACACAGACCATAGTACCTTACCTATAAAGATAGAGTGCAACTTTTTACAACATTGCACAAAACTCACTCTATCCATGTCCCATTCTTCCTAAAAGATCTCTATTCCTTAAGTGGTACAATTTCATTTCCATATAAAGAAAGCCTAACAGATTATAACTCATTGCAAGCTGACTTAACAATCACAAAACTCTACTACCAATAGGAAAGGGTCCTTATCCTTCTACAGTTCTACTCAAAGAAAACCCTCAAACATCAAGGTGATCAAGGGGACTTTCTTACCATCCAATCACAAATCAAGCATGATCTATAAACATCTAAAATTCCCAATCTCCATATTCAGCTAAAAGATTACTCGTATATATGTAGAACAGCTAGACCAACCTGATTCAGCCCAGTCTTCTCTACCACTGATCCGAACCATCCATAAGCACAGAACTTGAGAACACCCAAGAAGAAGCAGAGGCCACAGAAGATCAAGAACATCAAGTGCCCCAATTTCTTCTTGCCCTTGAACTCCACCAATTCACCCAATCCACCCAAATCCACACCCAAAGATCCAATCTTTCTCCTCAGATGCACTCTCTGGATCACACTGCTCAAGTGGGTCTGAGCTTGTTTCTTCTCCACCACGGATTCGAACCCGTCCTCGAAAACAGGGCTCCCATTTCCCTCAGATCTGGGAGAGGTCACCTGGAGATCAATTTCGTGGTGGGTGTTCAGGGAGGCGGAAGTGCCGCCGTTTCCATGGGCAGTCTGATTGGCGCCGCCATTGTTGGAGCGCTTGAAGGAGTGGGCTCTGCGGGTCATCGAGCCGGAGAATCTGGGGCTGTTGACCCGCGGCGAAACCCCATCCGTCGCCGTCGTGTGGTGGTGGTGATTGTTAGAATACATATATATACATGTATTCTATATGATGAAAATTATGGACATTAATGGGAACCAAAGGAAATACAGCAAGAAATCAACTCTCAAATCTCAAATCAAAGAAGAGAAGAAATCACTCTTAATTACTCCATTTTTTTTCTTTTTCTTTTTCCCTTTGTTTATCTTTAGTGGAAAGAGGCCGCCATTTTCAACGACTTTTCAAGAAATTTTTTGGTAGGCATATAACTCATTTTCTTTCTTTCTTTCTTTCTTCTTTTTTGAAATGACTTCTTCAATTATTAAGAGACACATCACACATGATGAACGTAATAATTTCGTCCCCTAAATGGATAACCTCTTCTTAAAAATAACTTAAACAAAGTTTTAAAAAAATCTAAATGAGTCAAAAAAGAAAGAAAATATAATGAATTTATTAATTTTCCCTGAATATAAATGATTTAGGGACGGAAGGAGTGTCTAATACTCCTTCCTCCCATTTTTTTTCTTTGTTTCGTTTTTATTAGTCTTATACTCTTATTATCATTTTATACCAAATACGGAGTATTACATTTTTTATATTTGTGTGTTTCACATTATTTTTTATTTTATCTTAATTTTAATCACACATTTTTTTACTTAAGTGATGCGTATATGGTCTCAAGGTCTACATTTAAATTTTTTTCCCATTTTTTCATGGGCTTGTGTGTGAATATTTTCTATTTTGCAAAAAGCCCACATATTTTATGCTACAAATGCACTAAGATCTATAAAATGAGCATGAACTTTAAGTCTACAAAAGATTTTATGTTTTTAGTTTTTAACGCTTCTTAAAACTCCATCTCTATCAAAGTAAACTTTTAATTTAGAATGAATGTGTTGGACAATGTGTCAATACATGAATATGTATATTGCAATATTTTTTGCTCATTATTATCTTTAGGTTTTGATGATGACAAATGGGCAAATCGTATATGATCTTAAGTCTACACTCATTATATGAATCTTAGTACATAAATAAAATAAAAAATTAGATCTTTCACAAAAAAAAGAAAAAGAAAAGATCTACATATAAGCACATGAAAATTGCAAAAAAGTTCACATTTCAGGTGTGAACCTTAAAGCCAAAGAACCATAACTCCAAAATCAAATATAATGAGCATCAAGACTAAGTAGAAGTATGATTCAAGAGCTACGACAAGCTTATTCAATCTCTGATTGAAGAACTTTTGATCACATACGAAGGATCAAGAGGGAAAACTTTTAAAATATCTTGGTTTGTTAGTCTTTTAATTAAGTCTTAGTATATTTGTTAAAGAATAATATAGCTTAGGGATACTTCTAGACCATTCTCAATGACTATTCCTTGACCTGATCGATCTTTATTACCAAAGATCTTTCTTCATTTCAAATTAATCTTTACACTTTTCTCTTATGGTGTGTTTAGAAACTTGAATTTGGATTTGAAATCTAGATTTGATCCAAATTACTTGTTTGAGAACTCAAAGAATATGGATTTGGGTTTGGACCAAATTCTTCTAATTCAAAATTAACCCACCTACAAGGCTACAAATCCACACCTCTCCAATGTCATTTACAAATTCAAGTCTTTTTTTAAAAATTCATAACCTGTAATTAAAGAGTGACCTTTTCTTATGGAACAACAATTTCATAAATATCAAACTCGTTTCTGTTACCGTCTTTATCGACTTCAAAATTCTAATTTTAGAATTGAAATTTTACGAGTTCAAAATTCTAAGTCTAATTCTGTCATCTTTGGTTGGAAGGAAGTTGGGGGGGGGGGGG